GGGAGATAAGGGGAGGAGCCACACCCAGCCTCCCAACTGTCCCAGAACCTGGGAATGGGGAACAGCCACCTGATATCAACCCGGAGCCCCGATGTGGTGCATGCTCCGAGCGTTCTGCCCAAGTGGTTTCAACAGTTTTAAAATGCTGGTAGTGACCAATTTGTCTCTTCAAGTTTTTCCTAAAATATTAAGCCATTTGAACTTACAATTTTACATCCTTTTGGTAAGACCATGAATGATGATATTGTATGTGACAAATATTTTTGAACAGTTGAGTCAATATTGATTAAAATGGCTACACTGTATTGAATTTATGGTCAAAATCTTACAGGTCTAGAAAATATATGTATCATAGATGTTTTTGCAAAAGTTGTATTTATCCAGCTAAAATATATTGTAGTGTACTTTACATTTTTGATTTTTCTTTATTAGAGAAAGATTATAATCTACCTTAAGAATGAAACAGGTCTTTGAGTGGATCATTTTCCATAAAGTGAGCTCCCAGTGGCTTCCTAAGCTTAGCCTAAAGATATACAACCATACTTTATTTTAGGCTGTAAAATATCTGCAGCAACATGTTTGACAAAAATAAATGAAATAGATCTTAACAATAAACAAAATCAAAACTTTTGAAGATCTTTGGAAGTGACTGTGACACGTTATTTAAAGCCAGCTGTGTATCATGATCGAGTAAGTCAAGGACAGATTGACAATTCCCACAATTATTGCTAAAGAAGGCCTCATTCCTTACAGAGATCAGGCAGGGATCAGCCAGAAGGAAAGCTCTAGAAACAGACTGCAGAGGGCTTCACAGACCTTTTACTGCTGTCCCTCACTGCAGTGGCAGATCTCATCAACTCATATATCACCAATCTTCTCCCTTATGACCGAAGCAGTTGTTGACAGCTTTTGGCAACATTTTTGTTCTGTTTTTTCCCTAGAAAAACACTTTGGGTGATTTATGAACAGAAATCTATTTCTCATCATTTTGGCATCTGGAAGTGTAAGATAAAGGTACCAACAGAGCTGGTGTGGGGTTCCCCTGTTCCGGTGTGGGGTGAGGGTTCCCCTGATCCGGTGTGGGGTGAGGGTTCCCCTGATCCGGTGTGGGGTGAGGGTGCCCCTGTTCCGGTGTGGGGTGAGGGTTCCCCTGTTCTGGTGTGGGGTGAAGGCCTCTCCCGTTCCTTACAGATGGATGACGTGACTTGCTGAAGCCATTAGTGAAGAAGCACTAATTCCATTCCCAGCAACATGTGGATGACAGCAAGTTGTTTAAGGAAAACATTTAAATCAAGCATATTCTTCTGAACCAACTCAGACAACTAAAACGTTACAGGAGTGGCTGCAGTGAGAAGCTTTCAAAAATAACTCAAAAGCTCTATAAGTTACCACCTGACAGACTTTCCTGAGTAGCAGGTACATGTGGATACAGACATTTTCAAATCAACAAAAGGGGGAAGCCAGAGAGACAAACTTAGGACATCAAAAAGAACACTCCAAGATAGGAGCCACTGGGTTAGAAGAAAGAGCTACTTCCAGGCAGTTGAATCTTGTCTCGGATGCCGTGTTGATTTGGCACATATCTCAGCAATGCATGCCAACTCATGTATTTCAGGGTAAGAGCTACCAGAACGGCACAATGAGCGGCATATTCTGGTTTAAGCTGGATGTCTGTATCCCACATGAACATATTGTCTTCTTTCAGCTTTGTCTCCTTGCTCCTCCTGGTCAGACCTCCTCATATTCCAGCTTGCCTGGAAAGCTCACACTCAAATCATTCCCCAGAAGCCTTCTTCCTCCCATATCTCTAGTCCAGCTCTGACCTGGCCCGCAATAGGTTCTCCTTGACTCATAAATTGTAGCCTACCTGCTACCTTCTCTAGGGAGTGGCATCCACAGTATTGCTCTTCCAGAATTTGCCATCCTAAGAGTTCCCATACCACAAGGTCCACACTCAACCTGTCATCTAACAGTCTGAGCCATCAACTACTGCCTCCAGAGTGCACTGGCAGGAAGTCAGAACTGGGAGCAGAGCTGGACTCCAGCCCAAGCACCCTGACATGGAATACAGGTATCCAAACATACAGGGTGTGGGTGTCCCAAGACATGTCTAAGCCATAAGACCAAATGCCCAGTCCATTGTCCACATTTTCTTGTGTCTCCTTTGCTTGAATTGCTCCTATGTGTACTTAGAGTGCTCTGACTTGCAGCCTGAACTGTTCTCCTCCCCCGACCCAGCTGCTCCAGATGGTTATCTGCTCCAGGGTCCGGCCTGCCTCAGAGCCCTCCTGCTCAACGCCCATCAACAGCCACAGTCTTGCGGAGTCCCTGGGCTCATGTCTTCATCTTCCAGAACGTTCTAAGGCATCTGGGCAGGAGCTAGGCCAAGCATTGATCTTCTGCTTGTATTTACCGCAGAAGTGCATGATTTTCACGCAGCAAAACCTCTGCCTCACAGCACATGTTCAAGATGGTGGAGATGCCGATCTGCAGTTCTTACGGCGCAGAGATGCAAGGTGGATTAAAGAGACTGGAGTTAGACTTTATGAAACTTCTGGAAGGAGAGTTAACACAGAAGGGACATCTGCAGGCTGGATCACTACCAGCCTCGAGCCTCGAGTTTTCTTTAATGGCTGTTCCCTCTGGTCCTTGCAAATTTAACAAGGTTGTGGCCCTTTCGCAAGAACTGCAGCTTGAAAATAGTTGTCCTTTTTTTTTTTTAAACTATTAAAAGAGTTGTAAAAGTCCTGGTTTCCACTAGAGATTTTTCTAGTGAAAGTGCTGATGTGATTTAAATGAAAGTGCTGATGTCATTCTGGATGGGGTAAGATCAAAAAGCCAACGTCAAGGCCCAGGAACCCTCAGACACAATCAGGGATGCCTGCGGGATGACTGGCGGGAATCCAAGCCTCTGACATCACATGACGGGCACAGGTGCCCACCTGGTGTTTAAGGCCACGTGAACGTGGGAACCAGTTCTCAGTTCTCCCAGTCCCTCGCTCTGCTCGCGGTTCGGGTCTGAGGTCGCAGAATCTTGCTACCAGCTGTAAATGCTTACACAACCAGCTGTAAATCCTTACAGAACTGACGGTACTGCCTCTACCTGGATTGCCAGGCAAGGTTGCTTAGAAGGTCAAGGGGTCCCCCCTGGGTCAGACTACACAACTGGTAGGGCTCAGTACAAATCAAAAAATGCAAAACTGCTTTGTTCAAAAACCACCCAAGACTTTCCAGAGCGGCCCATCGGTGCACGAAGCCAAGTGCAGGAGCTGGGCCTATGCACGCGCCCAGTTCCCCGGCCTGGCGGGCTCCCTGGAGCTCACAGAAACCTTTGCACACTGCAATGGGGGCTCACTAAATGCTCGGTTCCACGTTGCGTCACTTCTTCCTCAGGGAGGACAAGCCTCAGCCCTCCCTGCGCTCACGATGGCGACCTCTCGCGCCGCGCACCCGGCCTCTGAGGCGCGGGCGGCCCCGCCGCCGCCTCCCGGCAGTGTTTACCGGTTGCTGAGGAGACTGCTCGGCCGCGGGCTCTCAGCGCAGCCGCCTCGCTCCGGACCGGCTCCGTCTTGGCTCCGTCTCGGAAGGCCGTCGCGGGGCTCTGGCCGCCATGAGTCGGGGCGGCTCCTCCGCCTGCAGGCGTCGCGACGGGAGCAGCGGCGCCGCGTCGCCCCCGCCTGAGGTACGGTGCGTGCGGCCCCGTGCGGGCTGGCCCGGCCGGCGTGTCCCGGGCCACCGTGGTCGGCGCCGGAGGCCGCCCGGACAGCCGCCCCGTCGGGGCCCACGGGCGCTCGGCGCCTCTCCCTAGCGGGTGCGCGCGTGGCACCGCAGCAGCCGTGTCCCCCGCGTGCGCGTGGACGCGGGCCCCGTCGCGGACCGTGGGGAGCGCCTAGGCGTCAGGGTGTGGCAGAGCAGCGGCTTCTCTGCTCTTCTTCGAAGGCAGCGGAGTCCTGGCCTGCCCGCGGCTCCTTCCCCTGCACCCCGCCAGCGTGTGACTCAGGGCAGCCGGCACCGTCCCAGGTGATGGGGTGCAGCCCCTGGCCAGAACCACTGATGGCTCGGGGTCCCTGAGTCACGAAGTCCCCCACTCCTAGTTCCTTACATTCAACCCGCATGGAGATGCCTCTAGTTTTTGGCACATGTGTGGACAATTAGTAGAGGGATATAGACGTAAAACTGATTTCCTCTGGCGTTTTCATATTTGACATCGTATTTTATCCCTATCCTCTGTATCCCCTGGGAATCAAGACAGACTGGTGTTTTAGGTTGCCTTACTCTCTTTCACCCCGAGGTTCTCTGTATATTCTAAGAATCACGGGTGTCTGCTAGCCACAATACAACGATGAAGGTCAGGATATTTTGAATTGCTCCGGTAATGTCATCTAATGTACTAAATCTACTAAATCTAATCTACTAAAATTTTGCTAATTATCCCAGTTATTCCATTTATTACACATTTTCTTCATTCCAGAACCACATTATACTTAATTCTGCTTCAACCTGAAGCAATTCCTCAGCTTTAACATATTTGATTGAAGAAGGTTAGATTTTCGATAGGGATACTGTGTATGAGACGTGGTGTCTCCGGGTATCTCCTCAGGAGATCCGTGGAGTCGCTTTCCCATTATTGGCGATGTCCCCAACTGCTGGGATCCATCAGATTGCTTTTCCCTGTAAAGTTACCTTTTCTCTCTTGGCAGTAAATAAGTGATCCTGTTGATTGAATAATCTTGTCAATTTAGATAAAGCTTTAAGATAAGCCTCCATCTAGCAAAAATTTTTCCCATCAGCCCAAGCTGCTAATTGGCTTGAAAGAGCTCATTTGTACTGAGATTCAAAGTGGAAACAGGAGGGGATGGCTTACTCAGCAAGTGGGGCAGGGAGGGCAGCATCTGTCCTGGAAAAGGTTTGTGCTTGCCCCGCAGCTCTGTGCTGGAGAACACATCGCGGTTCAAGGCACGGCGGACATTTGACGTAACAGCTAGGATGCCACTTCCTACATGGAGATCTGCTTCCTGCTCGTGTGCAACCCGGAAAGGCAGCAGACGGTGTCGCAAGGGAAAATAAACGAAGGTGGCATCAGGTACATTGGCATGGTTGTGCCTCCGTGGCACCGCGCATCCAGATCCTTACTCATCCTGCCAAGCATTGAAACAACAGCTTGCTGTTCCTCCTCCACTCTGCCCCTGGTGACCACCAATATTTTTATTAAGTGAACTCCTATTGTATGTACCTTTTAAAAATATTGAAATCACACACACAAAGATAGCCAGCTCTCACCTGCTGGTTCACTGCCTGAATGCCTGTAACAGCTAGGGCTAGCTCAGGGCCAATGCTGGGGGCTGAGAACACAGCAGAATCAACCGTGTATGACAGGAACCCAGTACAATGGTCTCCCCCTTTGTTCAAGGGGCATAAAGACCTTTTTACTATGAGATAATAAATTGGAAAAAGCTTAGAAAATATCATTGATTGGTAGAGACTACATTGGATGAGTAATTAAAGGGTTTTCCTCTTGTTTTAATAAGAGGAGGTTTTATACTATTATAAATCAATGCTGGTTGTGAAATCACAGGGAGATTTAAAGTGCTGTTAGTATTCTTCAAAAGTGTCAGCTTCAAGATTGGGACATGACTTGGAGGACTCATTGGCCACCCGCCTTAGAATGCTGCATGGGACAAAGCTTTCCGAGGACAGATAGGAGAAAACTCTGAAGTTCTCCTTTAGCCTGTTTTAAAGAGATTGTGCGTTCATGTGGTGTCGCCAATAGAATATGCATATTTCCAACAATGCCAACTACTGCTTGGTCTGCATTTGAATATTGTTGGCTATAAAGATTTGCCTTTTTTTTCACATTCAGGAATAAACTTTATTTTTTTTTAATTAAAAGAGGAAGTAATATTTGCTGCACCAGAAATGGTTTATACCATTTGTTTTAAGCTCAAGATTTCTTTGTTTTGCCGCTTTGATTTGCTGGCTTTGATCTAATAGCAGAGAAGTTCACAGTCATTGCTGAGGCAGACCAGAGCACCTCTAATTGATACCAGCACAGATACTGTAGTTTTTATAAGTATGTTTAGATAGTTCTTGAAGTATTTTAAATACTGCATATAAAATAAATATCTGCATTTCTCCTCAGTCTTATAAAAAGATGTCTCTAAATTGCATTTTTGAGTTATTGAGATGCCTTCTTTGAATGAACTTAGCCTTACATTTTGCCTCTTTACTCTTCTCCATTAGCTTTGTGCAGGAATGTATTTTCCAGCATATTACGGTCACCATTATCTAACCTCAGTGTGAGTGCAGAGTGGAACAATTTTAGGACTTGACGATAATGATCACATCTACCCAGATCTCATCCACTTTGGGATAAAAGAAATGGATAATGGAATATTAAAAAGGAAGTCCTGACATTGAAATATTGTGAATGTTCAGAGTAAGGAAAAATGAGCATTTTTGAGGGAACGTGAACTACCAGTTATGCTTGGTGAATCCCACTTTGTAAGACTGCCACCCTTTGGGGAGCATTCATTGTGACACTCTGTTAGACACTGAGAATTTGGAAGTTGTTTCTTTCAACAATTAAAAAAAAGTGCCAATTTTAAAACAGGCACTGTTTTGGGGAAGGTCTCATGGTCATAAAAGGTGTATTTTTGTGAATAAATAAATTAGAAAGGCGAACATATTCAAGATCATTCTAGACAGTGGTACATACTTTGGAAAGAAAAGAAAGCGAGGTTACAGGATGGATACTGAGTTGGGTGAAGAGTGGGACCCAGTTTGTGTAGGCTGGGTGGGCCAGCCGGCCGATTTACTGAGGCAACGTCTGGGCTGCCTCAGAACGCACTGGGAGAGGGCATTAGAGACAGCAAAGCAACAGGAGGTTTTGGTGGAAATGAGGTTGATGTGTTTGACCTGAGTGTGGTTTGTAGAATGTTTTTCAACTTGGCTGTGTCTAACATTTCTTTATTATTAGAGTTGGGTTAGTAGTTTACAGTGTTTTCTTTTCTTTTTTTTTTTTAATTCTGTATTCTGTGTTGTGTTTTCAGTATGTTGAGGAAGGGTCCTCAAACCAGTTTGTTTCTTTACTGATGTTATGAAAGACGAAGATTGAAAGATTGTTCCAGATTAAACAGATTGTAGGTAGTTGGCAACCATATGAAGCTCATCTATAGTTGTGCTAAGGAAGATCATTAGGACAGTGGTTTGAGAAGGAAGGTTCTTGCACTCAGGAGGTGTTGCTGAGGCATTTAACAGGAAAGCACCAGGTGTTTGCCAATTGCTAACAAAAGATCCAGCAATTACAATCATACCGAGAAAAGAATGAATCAAAGGTGGCACTATGTTATCATGGTTGGCAAATATAAATGCAGCATATACTTGAGTTCTTTGGATTATTCTTGCAACTTTTCTGTAGGGTTGAAATAAAAAAGTATATTTATGATCCAGGAAATAAATGGAGTTATTACAAAGTAGAAGATTCTTGGTAACAACTGAGCTGACAGTTTCAGTTAAATAAATAATAACTGGTAAGACAAAACTTTTTTTTTTTTAATAAAAAAGGCAAACATGGCTGGCGCAAATTTTTGGCTTTACGTTAGGATGTAGAGAGAAAGATACATTAGCTAGGGTGTTCTAGAAGGCCAGAGATGACTAGGGAAGCAGAAGCTTTGCTGAGGTCACTGGGTAGTGGTTGTGGCCAGGAGTGAAGCTCCTTTGGAGGTGCCATCAATACGCACAGGTGATGGGCAATAGATAGATGCATATTTGGGAGCCATCAGATAGTAGAAGTTGTTGAAATCACAGGAGAGAATGGAATAGGCCCATGAGAATGTGTTGAGTGATGAATGCAAAGACAGAACACAGCAAATATCACAAGGGGAAGTTCATGGAGGAAGATGAGCTAGAGGAGGGATGGAGTAGGGAGGGCCGGAGCAGTAAAAGAGATATGGTTAAGCGAAAGTAGTGGTATGGAAGGAGAGTAAGGAGCATTCTAAGGAGCAAGTTCTTCCTGAGTCAGGTGCCAAGGGAAGACTAAGCCAAGCAAGGAAGAAAATGTCTCCTGGTCTTGAGAGCAGTGGTCTTCCCCAAAAAGTGGACTTGGAGCTGAGTTTTGAAGGCGAGTCAGTGAGGTAGAGTTGGGCTTGGCAGTGTTGGAATAATAGTCTCCCTTGTGTAGACACATGTAGACAATGACTGCATAACAGTATCAAGCACTGGAACAACTGCAGAAGGCAAGGCCTGTGTGGCTGGAGTAGAGCTGGATGGAACCATGAGGTGATTAGAGAAACAGGAAATGAGGTTGGTGAGGTGGGCATGGATTGCATCATGCAAGACTTTGTAGGAAATTGGATTTGATCTTCCAGGCAAAACTAGGCCACTGGAGAATGTGAGGCTTGGTGACACTGACCACTTCTGTGTTTTAATAGAAAAGATTTCTGTGGTCACAGTGTAAGCAATGGCTGGCAGCTTGGTGGAGGGAAGGGGAACAAACTTGATGTCAGGGAGACTGTGCAGAGGCTGTGGGGCTCATCTAGACATGTCTGATGGACGAGGAGACAGAATGGTGTGGCAATCTATGACAGGTGCATGGGCAGGCTTCTGGCTGGAGGAATTATGGATTCTTGATCTCATGCACCACAGGGGAAAATTTTGGAGAAAGAGAAGATTAGGGAAGGTAGCTGGATGCAGCTTTAGACTTGCAGGTCATGAGGGGCCTGGGCAGTTTCTGGGATGTATCCAGAAGGTAATCAGGTATTTGGGTTCCAAGCCTGAAAGAGGGGTTTTGGCTGTGAGCATTGAATATTTGCCATTCAGGTGGTTCAGCCATAGAGGTGTTCTAGGGAGAGGACAAGGAGGAATTTAAAAATCATGTTGAATTTTACCATGTGTTGATTGGAGGTGAGCAGATAGGGCAAATGAAAGAATATGAAGGTAAAAAAAAGTCTTCTGTGATAGGCATCCAGGAACAACATTGATCATTTATTTATATAGCAAATATGTATTGACCAGAAAAGGAGCTTCACGTGGAGGTCCAGATACCTGAACACTTTGATCTCTGAAATGGTCCGACTTCATTATCTTGAACATATTGCGTAATCTCTGTAGGCCTCGTTTCTTTATGTCTTAAGGTACGTTTCCATTTTAAAATTTCTAGGAAATATTAATAAAACTTAATCGTGACTTCTGTAATAATAACTTGAAGAGGGGAGATAGAGAGAAACCATCTAGTAGGTGAGAAGAGTTAGATGTGCTGGGAAGTGGCATGAAATTGTCACATTGAATTGAACACTGAGAAAACCAGTTGAGAAAAACAATAGATTTTTAATTAATTACTTAATTTATAGGTAGATACAGTTCCATAGGCTTTGGGATTTCCCCATCCCTCTCCCTACAACCCTTCTTCCATCTGATTTCTTCTGTATTATTATGATAGTATAGTCCTTCAAAAATAGTCATAAGTCCATCATTCTGATATGTAAATATATCCTGTCTTTGTAGGTATGGACAATGGCAAAGTCCAGCATCCTATTGTCTAGATATATTTAACAGTTTTATTGGGGGTCCATCTTTGATTTGGAAGTAGAGATGCATACTGCATTGTTATCTTCATGTCTTGATATGATAGATTCTATTATATAATTCCTCCAAATGACCATATGTATGTGCATGTTTGCCTATATGTCTATTGATCTTGTATTTTGCATGAAGGTTGCCTTATATCAGAAACAACATATAATTTTTGGGGGGGGGTTTGGCTTATTTCATTGAGCATAATGATCTCTAGTTGTATTTTGTTGCAATTGGTAGAATTTCATCCTTTTTAGTGGCTGAGTAGTATTCCATAGAGTAGATATACCACAGTTTTTTTTATCTACTTCTCTTTCAACAGGCATCTGGTTTGTTTTAGGTTAATTGTTAAAAACATTCATTTGGAGAGAGAGTTTTCTTTTCTAGCTGTACCTCATACAAAGGATTTATGATTGTATCTTTTATGACACCTTGAATGAAAGCCTTTGGCTGTAAGTTAGAAGATATGGTGCAAATTCCAGCCACAGCATTCACTAGATGTGACACCTGGTCAAAGTTACCTCAGCCCTTTGGCTCTCCATGTCCTTTTGTGAAAATGGGTGTGTTAATCCTTGATCTGAATGGTTGGCTCAAAACAATGGCCTGACTATGCATGCTT